GAGCCCCAGCCCTGGCACGCGCTGCACAGCGTCCTCGCCTCCTTCCTGGAGCCCTCGTGGGGGCCCCGCGAGCCCCCCGCGCCCGGCGGCGGCGCCTGGCCCTGAGCCCCGCTCCGCGCTGGGAGGTGCCAGGCGGGATTTGGGACACGGGGACCCCGCTGTCCTAGCAGAGAGTCCCCATGGGGGCTGACGTGCAGGAGGCGCCGAGCGGCGCGGTGGCAGCTCGGGCTCCTCCGGGTGAYACCAGAACAGGCCCGTGCCCTGGAGTCCGGACGGGAAGCAGGGACGTGGTGGCCACGTGCAGGAGCTCCCGTCCCCAGCCGTGTGTGGAGGGCCCTGCGGCCACGGGCACCCAGATGCCACCCGGTCCCACCAGCAGCATGGGCGGGTGCAGGGGGTGCGTTGGCACCCCGGGAGCAGAATGGGGAGAGCAACCTGCTCTCCTGGCCTCTCTTCTTCCTCTCTCCTCTATTTGACTTTTCTCAGCTTCTCAGCTTCTCTCTCCATCCTGGAGATGACTCGGGGACACAGGGCTCGTGTCATGACCTCGATCGGGGGGCAGCGGCTGCTTGTTCCTGCAGCCCGCGGGGGCCGCAGCCCCCGCACCCCCCGGCCGGCCGTAGCTGTGCCCGTAGCTGCCTATTTATGTAACTACTGCCTATGTACGTGGCTCTGCGTAGAGACCCTGGCGGCAGCCAGTAAAGAACCGACCCCGCGGTCCCCGTGTCCCTGTCGTTTCTCTAAGGGGGGCAGTGGGAGCTGCCTGGGGAGGGAGGGCGCTCAGAGGGGCCCAAGAAGCAGCAGAGCAGGAGGCTCCTGCGCTGGGCCCCTTGGTGCCACCCCTTGGTGTCACCCCTTGGTGTCACCCCTTGGTGCCACCCCTTGGTGCCACCCCTTGGGTTCCAAGGACACCACCGAGGAGCTGCCCCTCGCCCCAGCCGCTGGCCCTGCTGCTTCCAGGCCCGGAGGAGCAGGAAGCAGCTCCAGGGGCAGATGTCACCTTTACTCCGTGTCCTTTTCAAACAAGTGACCAGACAGTATATTTATATTATATATATTGGGTATTTACTGGTGGGAGCTGAAAACTTGCACCAAACATGTCTCTGGAGGGGTGATCAATGGCTTTATTTTAGGGAGGGAAGAGGGGCAATCAGTGTCACTGTGGGGGCAGGTGCCCCCCAGCACCCGTGGGYGCCAGCAGGGCAGGGAGGAGGGCGGCCGCCGCGGACAAGGGGCACCCAGGGGGTCTCCCCCCRCAGGGTGGCCAGGGCCAGGGCCAGCCCTTCTCGTAGCCCTTGGGGCTCCTTGGGAATTGGCTCCCCTTGGGGAGGGGGAAAAGCCCCTCGGCCCAGGGATCATGGCTGGAGAGGGYGCCGGGACTGCAGCACCCGGCAAGGGGAAGAAGCCAAAGAACCATGGGGAGGAGGCGGCCCRGGAGTGCTGGAGTGTCAATCCCTGGTCCACCCTGTGCTGCTCCCCCAGCATCTTCCAACGCGGGACCCCCTCAGCAGCCCTGGCTGCGAATCCTTCCGTAGCCCCCAGCCGTGTTGTCGAGGGATGGGACCCACCACCGGATTGTTGCAGGGCTGGGATGGGGACACGCGTGGGGACAAGGGCACGGAGGAAGCAGCGGGGAGCGGAGCTTGGGCCCCCCGCCGCGGGCCAGGGCGGCAGCGGGAGCAAGGGGGACACTGCACGACTCACACGGGGGCTCTACACGGCTGCAGGGAGCGCCGGGCCGCCCCGGGAGCGGCGGCTCCGCGTGCAGGCGGCACGAGGGGGCTGCGGCTCCCGCTGCTCCGCGGGAGGACAAGGAGGGGACATGCAGGCAGGGCCGGCGCCGCTTCCCCGCGCGGCCGCGGCCCTCAGTTCTTCAGCACCGTCTCGTACGCCTGGAAGACGTAGGGAGCCACCTCGGGCGCGCGGCATTTCAGCGAGAGCTGCAGGGAGAAGGAAACGCGGCCTCAGGCCCCGGCCCGAGGGCGCTGCCCGAGCCCCACGGCGGCCCCGACGCCCCCAAAAGCGGCTTCTCCCTCGGCAGAGGCTCCCGCCGCCCCGCGCTGATTCACATCCTGCAACGCGCTCACCGTGCAAGCAGAGCTGAGCCCAGCTGAGCTGAGCTGAGCCCAACCCCACTTTAACCGCTGCAGCCTCCCCGGGGGCTTTTGCCTGCCAAAGAGCTGCAGTTTCCAGGAGCCAGGGCTCCGAGCTCGATCCCAGCTGGCAAAGCCRTGGGAGGAGGCTGCTGCGCACAGGTGCCGAGGGCTCAGGGGGCCAAGGGGACAAACATCGAGCTCAAAGCTTTTCTCACGGTGCTCCCTGCCTAGGTCAGCTTGGAGCTGGGGCAACAAGGGGCGCCTCGTGCAAAGCTCAACTCTCCGCTCCGTCCTCCCTGGCAGCGCTGCCAACAAGAGCCCCAAGCGCTGGGAGCGGGTGGNGTGCCGCCATTTTCGGTGTTTATCGCGGCGGCCATTTTGCCCCCTCCCCCACTGAGAGCGGCCGTTCTGGGGGGTCCCGCCCCCAATTTGGGGGTCCCGCCGCTGCCCACAACCCCCCCCCAGGGGCTGTCGGGGGGGGTCCCCGAAGACACAAACACGGGTCCGCCATTTTGATCCCCCCCACTCGGAGGCCGCCATTTTGACCTCCTCCAGGAGGCCGCCATTTTGCTTACCGCTGGAGGCCGCCATTTTGTGACCCCCCCACGACGGAGGAGCCGGAAGTGGAGGCCCCCTTCCCCTGTCGCCCCGCCCCACTTCCTCCTCGCTGTCTCTATGGCGACGTTCCCGCGCATGTGATCTGAGCGCAGCCAATGGGCAGCGAAGCCGGAGCCGCAGCCAATGGGAAGCGCGAGTGGCTGCGGCAGCCAATGGGCAGCGAAGCCGGAGCCGCAGCCAGGCGAGAGCGCGGGCGGCTGCGGCAGCCCTGGCCAGCGAGGCCGCGACGGAGGCGGCTCCGCAGCGCCCGGCCGCCCCGCCGGGCACGGCCTGCTCTGCTCACGGCAGGGCTGAGGTCRGGAGGTGGTTTTTGCTTTCAAGATTTGTCACTTGGCCGGGACTTCGCCCCCGCACAAGCGTTTCCGGGAGCTGTGGCAGCGCCGACGGTGGTTGCTACCTCACGGCCGGTGGTTGCTACCCCATCGCCACCAGGGTGGTCAAACRGAGACAAGGGCTGATGGAGCCCGTCCTGGGAAGGCCACCGGGACCGGGGGGCGCTCAGGGCAGCACTTTGGCCACCGAAGAGGGTGGCTGTTCAGCCCCACGCTGCTCATCAGCACCTAAACACGGGGCTGGCAGCACCACTGGCTGCTCCCATCGCTGCGTCCCGGCCTCCCTCTGGAGCTCCCAAGCAGAGAGCGAGGACAAGGACAGCGCGGGGARCAGCCCAGGCTGGGCGCAGGGAGCGTTTCGGAGCGGCCCTACCGTGAAGCTGGGATTGCTGGGCTGGATGCGCAGCTCCGCCAGCACCCAGATGCCATTGGTGAGCTTCAGAGACTGGTAGAGCATGTCCTGGCCCTCCACGTTCCTCTTGGCGATGGTGAAGATGTTGCTGCCTTGGAGCTTGCTGCTGACGGCATCTGTGAGGGCAGAGACGCGGCCGCCCTTCAGAGCAGAGCCCCCGGAGGGCGGCGAGGGGCCGGGTGCTGCGCGAGCAACATCCCAGCCGGCTGGCAGGAGGCAGGGGACACCCTGGCACCGTCCCCGCACACCTCAGCTMGGGGGCTGAAGCGCCAGAGAGGAGCCAGCTCCTTGTCCCTATCTGCTGACGCCTCTGCAGCCCTGGATCTTCGTGCCCTAAGTGCTGAGCTGGGGGGACCCAGAGTCTCATTTTGGCCACGGTCCTGGTGGCTCAACAGCCCCGGGTGACACTCGGCTGCCTTTGAGGACACAGAGCACACGGAGCCTCTCCACCTCCCTGCACACTGGGCGCTTCACGGGGCCCACAGCCTGAGCTGGGATAACTTGGATAAACTCGACACCCCTCGGGCACCAAGGGCAGCCCGAAGCCCCTGGACAAGCCGAGCGGAGCCCTTCCGAAGGGGCCRAACCCACCTGCACTGAGGGAACAGTCCTTGATCTGGAACTGGGCCTCGTTCTCGTTGGGAATGTCCTTCCACGTGGCCAGGAACATCTGCCGCTCTGCGGGAAGGGAGCGGCGTGATGCGGGGAGAGCCCCAGCAGCCGCCTCGCCGCCGGGCACCCCACAAAGGCCTTCCCTGCAGTCCGCACGGGGAGGCCTCTGCTCACCTTGCCAGCCCCCCAGCAGCCCCCCGGGATCTGCCTCACCCAGCAGCAGGAAAACTACCCGCTGCTTCTTCCATAGCCAGTTCAATAGGCCTGAAGAGCAAGCGCCAAGGAAGGCAGAATAAGAGGGAAAGGAGGAGCCTGGTGGCAACGGGCTCTTAGAAGGTGTCTCAGGGCACCTGCAGGCGGCCACAGCTTGGCCACGGTGGCTCTGAGCCGCCTGCTCCGCACTCCCGGCGGGATCAGGCTGCGGGGCAGGCAAGGTTGTGCTGGGCAGCGACGGGTGGCCAAGCGCAGGGTGGCAGCAGCTCCCACTCACCCATCTTCCCGTCCTCCACGAAGAGGATGTGCAGCGGATACAGCGTGCTGAAGTAGAACACGTCAATGTTGTTTTTCACCGCGACCTAGGAGACCAAACAGCGGGACGTCAGCGCTTCCTCGCACGCAGAGCGGGCGGGCGATGCCCCGGCGGGCGTCCCGGCCTCCCCCTGAACACCCATCCCCTCGGAGCTGGGTGTCTGCCACACGCCAACAAGGATCTTCCGCTGCGGACAGAGCACTTTGCATGAGAGCTCGGTGTCAGGTTCAAAGCCGGGCGCTCCGACAGGAAACAAAAGCCGATGAGCTGAGCGTTTTCTCCTGCTGGCTTCCTGCTGCCGCAAACCCTTCCAGCTCCACTTCATCTGCTTCCCTCCCTGCTCCCTGCACAGCTCAGCTCGGAGGAAGGAGCGGACACAACCCCGGGCCGYCCTTCTCGCCCAGCCCGCACTGACCCCAATGTCCCCCCAGCTGTTTCTGGGCTCGGGAGGGGACCCCCGGGGCCATTCCCCACCTGAAGGTTGTTCAGCGGGTCCATCTTCATGACGGAGCCAACTGTGTTCAGGGGAAGGGAGATCTCCACCGACTGGTTGGGGGCGAGGGGCGCGTGGACCTGCAGAGGGGCTGCTGGCGCCAGGCCAAAGCTGTGAGGACACGCAAGGAGAGCGGGGATCCGGGCRCTGAGCACAAAGCCAGGTAACAACAGGACAGCCCAGGCTGGGGGTAGCAGCCAGACCTCCCCCCGCCCAGAGGAACAGCCTCCTCAGCCAACTTCTTAGAGGCTCCGGTTTGATCATCACCACCACAGCCATCAGCAAGAGAAGGATCATCACGAGAGGCTCCTCCCGGCCCTAGAGCTGCTCACAGCCCCTTCCCCCGGCCCTCCCGGCTCCACGTGGACCCTGGGCAGGGCCCTCGCCAGCCCTGCTGTCCCGGGGCAGCCAGGGCGTCCTCCCAGGTGAACACGGCACACGTGGGGCTGCTCCGCGGCCTCCGCTGCTCTCCGGGCATCAAATCACACGCTCATTCCCAGCAGCCTTTCTTAAAAGGGCAGCTGACTGTGCTGGGTGCTCCCCGGCTTTGCACGGCCACCCTGCAGGGCCGGAGCCCAGGGAACAGCCCGGCAGGTCCCAGCACGGAGCTGGGACGCGGGAGGGACCCCCCTACCTGTTGCGGTTGAACTGGATGGCAAAGTCGGACATGACCTGCAGGGCTTTGTTTGTTAGCACGAGGTCCATGGAGATGGAGCCCACCTGGCGGCTGAACGTGCCCGAGATCTCCAGCCCCTTGGCCTTCATGGCAGGGAGCCAGACCTGCATCAAGGACACAAGAAATCCATGTGGTTTTATCCAACCTGCAGCACATGCTGCAGAGGAGCTGAATGGAGCGACCAGTCCACAGGGCTCCAGCGCTCCAGCACATGGAAATCCCGGAGCGTTTCACTGCTCCAGACACCCCGGGATGGCAGGGCACCAGGATGCAGACATKGGACCAGAGCATCTATTGCTTCCATCCCACCCACGCCCTCACACCCCAGCCCCAGGCACGTGCAAGGCCCTGCAGGGCACAGCAGGCGAGAGGGGCTGGAGRGACCTGCCTTCCCATCGCCTCCAACGTCCTCTCCATCGCTTCCCACCTGCCTCCAACGTCCTCTCCACTGATGACCCCTCTGCCACCAGGCTGGGTGCAACGGGCTGCTTTCCTGCCAGGGCCCCGAGGCGCTCTGCCCTGCCCAGCGCCCCAGCACCAGCCTTGGCCAGCACCTTAGCTCTGCTTGGGTCCCCTGTCCCGCTCACCGTTTTGGGCGCCACGTAGGACCCTGACAGGGCGCCCACTCCGCCGGTGAGGTCAAAGAGGTCTCCGAGGCCGCTGCCCATGGGTGCCCCCAGGCTCGCGGGTGCTGCGGCGCTGGGCGCTGGCGCGAAGCTGCCGCCGCCACCGCCCATCTGTGGGAGACAAGGGAGCGGGTTATGGGGGTCCTGTGGAGCAGGGGCAAGCGAGGAGGAGGAGGAAGAGGAGGAGGAAGAAGAGGAGGAAGAAGGGCACACTCACAGCAGGGCTGCCTCCCACATCGCTCCTCAGCTGCGAGAGAAAAGACAGGGAGATGTGGTCACCGCGGGCCGCGCGGAGCGGGCGCCCCACAGAGCCCTCCCCGTGTGGGGCAGCCAAGGTCGGGGCCGGCCGGGGCTGCCGGCGGGTCCTGCCTGCGGGGGCATCGCCCGGGCGGCACCGGCAGTGCCCCTTTGCCCCAGCAGGCACACGGAGCGAGAGCAGGGAGAGGCAGCGACCAAAAGCCAGCGGGAGKTCGCTGCTCACACAGCAGCTCCCTGCCTCTCCCAGCACCGTGGGACCCGGGGGCTGGAGGCGGTTTGGGGGGATGAGCTTTCCCTGTGGGAAGCACTGGATTCCCGGGATGCCCCACGCCATCCCGATGCCGCTTGGGACTCGGCCCCCGGTCTGACAGGAGGTTCGGGGCACCCTGGGCAGACAGGGCGCAGGGAGGGCGGGCATGGGTGCCAGAGCCGCTCRAGGGAGCCAAGGAAAGGCTGATCCATACCCCTTCCGACTCGTCCCCCATCTCCAAGCGGAAGCAGGCAAGGCGGAGAGAAGAGCCGGCCACATGCAGAGACGCAAGCCAGGAGAGGAGGCAAGGAAGCCAAGGAGAGAGAGAAAGGCAGGAGGGAAGAGACGTTAGTGCAGCGATGCCGCCGGCCCCATCACCCGCCGGGGGGTCGCACRGTGGCCCTGTCCCTCCGGGGCCCGCAGAGCCCGGCCGGGCCCTGGGGACAGCACAGGGACGAGCCCACGTCGGCTCACGTGGCGCAACTCTGGCCGTGTCTGCGCCACGGCCGCAGGCCTGGGGCAGGGCACGAGCCGCTGCCCTCCTGCCTGCCCGCTCCCTGGGGACACAGCGTGGGGGCTCGGGGCCGTGCAAGGCCAGTCGCCACGGGCTGGGCAGCGGTGCCCACGGGCCACGTGTCGCTGCTGCTGCCCTGGTGGGATGGACAGGGAGCCCAGCCCAGCTCTCCCGGCACAGGAGCCCCCGAGGACATCCTGGAGGAGGCCGGGAGCCCCCGAGGACACCCTGGAGCAGGTCGGGCGCGGGCGGATCTCAGGCCAGCTGCCTGCGCTGGGCTGAGAGCGGGAGCSCAGGAACAGGAGCCTCTCCGCACTGGGGGCACTGGGAACGCCGACCCCAGAGCAGCACATGGGACTGAGAAAGAAGGCGCTAATCGCTGCCCTGGGCAGCCACCTCGGCCACCCCTCAGCGCCAGCCGGCAGCTTGTGGAGCGCTCGGCTCCCTTCAATGTTCAYGGAAGGGCCCTGCCCAGGCGTCCCTGCGGGGACAGGCCAGTGTCGCCACCGTCGCTCCGGGTGGCAGCGGACACCACCCAGGGCACGATGCCACCCGGGCAGGTGGGCATGGGGAGCTGCCGAGGCGACGGCAGCGCGGCCGGAGTGCGGAGCCGCGACCCACCAGGCTGTCGAGGCCGCCGCCGAGGAGGTCCACGGCGCCCATCTGCACGGAGGAGGCGGCCATGGCGGGGCCGCTCACCGGCGGGCCCAGGTCCAGGTTGAGCAGGTCGCCCAGGAGGTCGCCCTGCGTGGGGATGACGGCCGGCGGCTCCGGCGCCTGCACGCCCGACGGCGCCGCGTCGGGGCTCTCCGCGCTCTCRCTCCTGGAGAGGGACAGGCAAAAGGAGGGTGAAAAACGCGATGCCAAAGAGCTCTGGGTGAGCCAGCACTTCCAGCTGGTGGTGGGATGGACACAATTTGCCCAGCTGTGCCTTTTGCTGTCCCAGCAGCGACGATCCCACCATTCAAAACCCTCTCACGGAGATTCACCTTGTACTTAAATCCAAAGTCCCTCCACGGGGCTTGTAAGGACGGTGCTTAATGCAAACCAGCCCTGCTGCTACAGGGAGACCTTATTTGGGGAAACAGCCACAAAGCAGAGCCCCTTCCCAGGAGCGCTGCTGGCGGCTGTAACACCCGAGCACGGGTGACACCACGACTGAGACACCATGTCCCACGTGACAGGAGCTGCCAGAGCGGTTGTGATATTCACCACGGCTCCGCTGGATGCAGAACAGCTCTGTGCTTCCACCGACACACAGCGCTGACACCAACCAGCCCTCACCCAGAGCCCCAGCAGGGAGAAGCAGTCCCGCTCGGTGAGCAAGACCCGAGCTGCCCAGCGCCTCACAAACTCAACACACGTCACAGAAACAGCCTGGGCAGAGGGGAGCAAGCAGAGAGACACTCACGAGCCTGTTCGCGGGGGCAGGTTCTTGTGCACGACCCCTCGGCTGCCCTCCACGAAGGCGCTGGGAGGCTTGTGGTAGACGGAGGCCAACGTGCCGATGTAGCAGATGAGCTCGTCCAGCAGCGTGGGCTCTATCAGATCCGTCTCCTCCGAGATGAGGGGCTTCTCCGCCAGCACCACTTCCTTGGCCGCCACCGGGTCGGTGGAGAGCAGGCGCCAGTAGATGTAGCCGCGGTCCCGCAGGTCCGGGTTGTCCGAGTCCTGCGGGAAGCGCGGCAGTTAGAGCTGAAGCAAGCGGGAAAGCAAGAGAACGCAGACCAGTTCAGAGCACCTTTGGGCCACAAACATCCTGTCCCCCCCCCAAATCATGCTGGAGCATTAGAGGGAGAGGGAAGACCTGGCCCGTGTTGGACCTCTGCTCTATAGAGGCTGGACAAGGACCCACGCTGTTACACTGGTGCCAGCGGGGCAACGAGGCACGACGCTGCCCCGGGCTGCAGCAGACCCCCGTTTAACCACCAGCGTTTCCATCTAACGCTAACGGGCACRTGGTGGGAACGCGGTGCCTGTCGCAGGAGTCTCCCACGAGGGGCACTGCGCTGCCACGACGTGCCCGTCGCTTCGGGAGCGGCGGCAGCGCTCCGCCGGGAGCGGGTTACGCACCTGCGTGGCCAGGCTCAGCACCTGCTGCACCAGCTCCTGCGTCTCCGTGGGCTTCTTCAGGAAGAGCTTCACGATGGCCGTGAGCAGCTGCAGCTGCACCTGCGGGCACAACCGCCACGTCAGGAGGGACGGGCAGCCCTGGCTGCTCTGGGGGAAAAGGCRCCGGAGTCTCCCTGGCACGCGCTGCCTCTCGGGACCTGATACGGGGTGACCCGCGAGGCAGCGGTGACACCGCTCCCAGCACCGGGGGTGACTCCCAGCCGAGCCTGGGGCTGCGTGAGGCCCATTCCTGCCCTCCCGGCCCGCCAGAGCTGTGGGCTGCTGGAGAGGTCGCTGGGTGAGAGGCTGGGACTCACCCAGGCCCAGGAAGATGAAGGTCAGAGCACCCTCTGAGTGGCAAGCGGGACCCATTCGACTGTCCCCTTGGGCCTGAGGCAGCACAGATCAGTGGCTCTGTTATTCACTTAACTGTGACTTGGCTGCGACTTAATTTCAAGGTGTTTTGTACAGTAGATGAGAAATCATCATAGGTGACACCYATAAAATTTTCAAATGAAAACCTATGAACCACTTGTGCTCCTCAAGGAGGCAGCAACTGAGGAAGCAGCAGAAGCTACAACCCCACGACAGTGTCTTCACCCAACGCAGAAGAGGTCCCCAGCAACCTGACAAGTTCCCGTCCTGCATCCTCTGTGACGGAGAGGATGGAGGGAAGAGACGCAGCCCCATTCCTGCTGCCCCTGCAGGCTGCAGCAGCCTCCCTCTAACGATGACCGGCCTCAGCTGCCAGAGCCAACAGGACAGACGTGTCCCCCTGCCCGCCCGGTGGCTGCCAGGGCCTTCCCAACGAGGATGCCTGCTCAGGAAGCACCAGCTGAGCTCCTCGTCAGCTCATTTCAGCAGCAGGACTTCCTCTTCCAGGCCCCAGAGGCTGCTCCTGTCCTGGCACAGAGGAATGGACCAAGTGATCAGCTGGTCCCTTCCAAGGACCACCAATGTGGTATCTCATGGGACAAGTGGGTATGGTCTACAGCCAGGACCAACACAAAGCCTGCGAGAAACAACTGTTCTGAACCTGCTAGAGCAGGTTGCTTTCTTCAGATCCTATTAGCACAAGCTTTTTCATGGTTTTCTCCTTAAAACAAAAAGCCTCAGGGACACAAAATTACTCTCAGCTATCGTTCAGCCAAAGGGGTGAGGGAAAGCCCCTTGCTTCGGACCAAGGCGCTACCTTGGCCAACACGACACAAGAACAACTTTGAAGGACCAAACCCCCAACTCACCCCCAGCACAAGCAGCCAGTGCTACCAAGGGATGAGGCCCCCTTCACGCGGAGGCCTCTCCAGGGCCGCGTGTGCCCATCCGGCCATACCTGGGTGCTCTCGTCGTGGAAGCCCTCCAGGAAGCTCTCGAGGAGCTCGTCCGCGTTGTCGATGCGCTCCGCGTACTCCCCCACGATCCAGATCATGGCAGCCCGGGCCTCGGGCTCGTCCAGGGAGTCCAGGTTCTCGCAGAGGGTGGCGATCACGCTCTCGTACCTTCCAAAACARGACCCGCGTTCACCAAGCGAACAGAGGGACCCAGGCCCAGCCGGGGTCACCAAGACCCATCCCATAGCCCGGGAGCCAGGGCATCGCTGCCAGCCCTCCCAGCTCGCTCGTGCTGCTCTCGGGGAGGGATCCGGCCTCCGGCTGGTCCCCAGCGCCGACACTGCCCACTGAACCCTCCAAGCCCCACACATGTGGGGCACGTGCCCTGCTCRCCGACCTCTCTGCAGAATTCACTTCTCAGCCCCGCTCACCCCGTCCCCATCCTCTCTCCAGCTCTGCAGCGGCCCCCACTTGCTGGAGATYTGCACTGACTTCCCAGTCGTTACTAATTCTGTTCATTAGTAACTATTATTGCTATTAGTTCATTACTTCCTGGACATGGCAGTCRCCCACTCATGATGGATCGGTCTGAGGTCTCCCCTCGCTTCCTGCTACCCTTGCACAGGAGSATCTTGGAGCTACTGCAGCCAAAAATACATCCAGCTTCTTCCCCAGAGGCCACATGAGATTATTCTAGCCCCATCTCAGTCCTTGCACTGATGCTGCCACCAGGACCACTGAATTATGATCCAGAGCTGGTTAATGTCCATGTGAGCAGCCTCAAAGTCTCTGCCTGCTTTTGCCCATTGGGTCTCTAGTTTGAGGCTCAGGACGTGGCCTAGGCTGTGCAAGGCTCTCCCGTCCCCACATTAACGCCTGGAGACACATCAGCTCACGAGCACAACCCAGAGCAGGTCTGGGTTTCACACACGCCCTCCCTCCCTGCCCTGCGAGGACGTGGGCACGAGTGATTTCCTACGAAGCCCTCTGCAATGCTGGGCTGCAGGCAGCTTCAGCACGGGCTGCCAACCCGGGGGGAGCAGCAGCCCAGCCCTCCCCCCGGATCCGGAGCTCTCTAGGGCTCCATTAGCACGGAGGGGCACCAAGGGTGGCCRGCGGCGCCGGGGAGCCACGTACTTGTTGGGGTACTTGCGGAAGATGTCCTTGATGACCACGATGGCCTCCTGCACCACGTAGTTGACTTTGGTCTGGATGAGGTCCAGCAAGGTGCTGACGCAGCGCTCGGCCGATTGCTGTTGCGGGGACTGGGTCACACCGGGGGCTCCTCCGCGCCCCCCGCACGCCTCCCACACCTCAACCCCACGSCGGATGCGCCAGCGCGGCCTCCCGCTCCCCAAAGCCGGGCCGGGGTCCCCCCATCCCTCCCGCGTGCTCCAAGCGCCTGCTCCTGCGCCCGCGAGGGTCCCTTTCTGAGAGTGCAGACTCCTAAACCTCGCCTCAGCTTGCATCTTTGCAGCCACACGCCTCAGGGTTAACAGCAATGAGAAAGCAGAGCTAAGGAGAACGTCACGGCCATAAATCCTGCTGGAAGAGGCTGGATTGCAGACCGGAGGGATCGGTTTAGCAGCCGCAAGCTGGGCCAGCTCAGCTCCCTGGTGGGAGCTGAAAGAAAAACCGTGTTGGCCCCAGCCTGTCTCCTCCTCCAGCTCTCCAAGGCTGCCTTGCTGCCGTTAAGGTGCTTTTGTCATGCAACTGCGATGCCCTGCATTAATCCAATATAAAATTGGCCGGCTCACAGCCACCTGACCTTGTCCCTACGCACGCCTCTTCACCGGCCACGCAGAGCCACGGCAAGCACAGCAGGAGCTGCAGAAGCCTTTTTAGTAATCCCTTCCTCCAAATTACCTCTGAGTGGATGCAACCCCCCCACTGTCCCCTTTGCTAAGGGATTAACTCGCTCCCAGAACTCCCGCAGTCTCCGAACAGGACACTTGTATAATCTGCTTCCTTAACACGTTAAGGCACATTTGGCAGCCCGGTCTGCTGCAAGCAGCTAGGTCAGCAGCCGCACACGGTGTGCGCAGGGATCCTGAAAAGGCTCCTGCAGCAAATGGCAAGGGGAACAACCAACCTGGGGTGACCGCGATGGGTGGCCGTCCCAGTCACAGCTGCCACAGCAGCACGAGAGGACACTGTGTGGAGCTCCCTGCCGCTCTCCACAGCCAGCCCAAGCTTTTCCAAGCCGAGCTCTGTGCCCAGCTCTGCTGCCCTCCAGGCCAGCTGCCACATCCCAGCCCTCACCTCGACCTTGATGGCGCAGCGGCCGATGGCTCGMACCGCCTTCCTTACGAAGTCCACGTCCACCTCCGTGGCGTATTCCTTCAGCTCCGCCAGCACCTGCCGGACAAGAGGGGCCAGTGAGRGCTGCTCCGACACGTCTCCCATGAAGGCATCAAAGGAAAACACAGCAATGCGCTTCCCTAAGGCCCAGCACCACGGGCCAGACCACAGCAGATCGGGTGATGCAGCACATGCCTTAATGTTCTGCAAAGCCACGGGCTATGTTCACATCAAGAACTTAATTGAGCGCCTGTAAGCGCCAGTTCAGATGCTGCTTGATAATCTGGGCAGGGGCAGCCCCCGCCCAGGCACCCTCCCTTGTCACTGCCAGGTCTTTCCGCAGTTCTGCACCAGTTTTACCCGGGAAACACGGTGCTGGCCTGCCCTGCRTGCCCTGCTTGGTGCCCACCCAGCCCAGCCGGGGCGGCGCGCGGGTCTCCGACCTGGGCTATGTTGGCCTGGGAGGCCAAGCGGATCATGATGTCCAGTTTCTCCAGTTTGACGTAGATGGGGTCGTTGTACTTCACAAAAAACACCTTCATCTCGTGCTTCAGGATTTCGGGCCTGGGGGACAACAAGGGGCAGGAATTAAGGGACACTCATAACCTTCACTTGGAGGACAGAAAGCAGCAGCAAAAAGCCTCCGGAAGGCACGGATTTCTGCAGAGCTCTCAGGATACAGAGACCAGTATCATGTGATTCCTCTCGTGGCAAAGGCGTCTGCCAGCCCTGACCGCTGCTCCCACACCCAGGGCCATCCGTAGGCGCAGGCAGCAGGCCGAGCTGAGCGGAACGCCGGGCCGAGCAGCCCCGGGAGCACCCGCAGCGCCAGGCCGGGAGGACAAGGCGCCCCGGCCGTGGGCGCCGGGAGCCCACGGRGGCTGTTTGGTGCCAAGCAACCCGAGATCGGTGCTTATTCCCGCCTCACGGCCCCGCCGGGCACAGCCCCTGCAGACCAGCAAAGGGACACGGGGACCTTTCAGTCCGTGCTCCTTCGAAAGGACGACTGCTCAGAACAACCCTGTTCCCCAACGCTCCTCGCTAGGCATGTGGCGATGAAACCAAGGCCTCAGCTATTCACCACCCCACTTGCTGCTCCCTGCCTGGTCCCTGTCCTGATTCCCTAAGCTAATTCCTGAGTTTTACTCCTAGAGAAGAGATGAAATCCACAGGAAGGGGTGTCAACCSAGGCCTGACCCTCCCGCAGCCCCCAGAAGGTTGGCAGCAACAGGAAGCAGCGCCCGGGCAAGGACAGGGGAGCCACACGGGGCCACCCTGCTGCGCGTCAGAGCTCTCACCTCTTCTGCACGATGAGGTTGATGTTGCGCAGAGCCACGTACTGCAGCTCGGGCTCCGCGGAGAGCAGCGTGACCAGCGGCGGCGCCAGCTTCTTCAGCAGCGTGCCGTAGTAGTCCAGGTCCTTGGACAGCATCTCCATGAACTTCATGAGCACCTTCACGGCCGACAGCACCACCGCAGAGTTGGCGTGGGACAGCCGGGGCGTCACCCGCTCGCAAATGCTGCGCGCGCCGGGAGGGGACACGAAGGGAAAGGTCATCAAAGCCCGACTTCCTAGTTAAGGTACAACGTTACTGCTAATACCACTGAGAAATGGGGCACTGAGAGCAGGGCAGGTGCCCACCGTATCATGACCGTCCCAAGGGATGTGTCACTGCCTCCTCTGATGATGATTATTTCCCAGCCCGCCCAAACCCCAATTCCAGTGACTCCCTTTGGGAGCTCGCGAGGGCCCAGCCCGTTTCTCCATGAACGATGACGTCCCAAGGCAGCTCAGGGGCGAGCAGCCCAACTCGCGCTGCTCAGCACGTGCCCACCAGCCGGAGCAGAGAGCTGAGTGTTAAAGAGCAGTTTGGAAGGAAGCCTAAAGACGTGCCAGGACGTGGCGCTGGAAGCAAGCAACCCTTTCAGGCAGCGCCCGTGCGCTCCCTTCCCTTCCAAGCCCTGCTCCCGCCAGCCCTGCTCCTGGAAGCAGCCATCTGCAATGCACCCAGACCTCACCTCTGGGCTTCCCGGTCATCCTTGGGCATGTAGTTTGCCAGGCAGTCCAGGATGAAGATCTGGCCCCACTCGGTGCATTCGTTCAGGGCCGTGAGCAGCTTGTTGATGGACTGGGGGTTTAGGTCCAGCAGGTTACTGCTCGGGTGAGACTCTGCTATTTCCGAGAGCGCGGCGACTGCGTTGGCCACCACCTGCCAGAGGGGACCGGACACGCGATACGTGACGAGGAAAAGAGCGGATTGACACCCCGGAGGAAGCGGATGCACAAGCGGACACGGCGCATCCTTCATGTCAGCCCCACTCGGGTACAGCCCCATCTCGGGCCCCAGGCCCTGCTCCCCCAGGCTGATCCGGGGCAGCCACTAYTGCCCCACACGGCATCGCGTCCATGGGAGCACATGGAAAAGGAGCCCCAGCAGCCAAGGACATGCCAAGGACAGCACAGCAGGCACAACCCGACAGCCCTTCTCGTGCTCTCRGGGTAAGAGCCTCTGTCCCACGCCTATCCCTTGTGCTGCTGACCGAAACACAGAGGGAAGAGTGGGATAAAGTGATTCCGAYGGCACGGCTATGTCCTGACCAGCTCCAGGCAAGCAGGGATAAAGAGCTCAAAGGAGTTGAGCTTTAAAAAAAATAAACTTCAGGTCAGCTGGACATGTCGCGTGCTTGGAAAACCTATTAGGATATCTGGGAATGATGAGGGACAACAACAGTGCTCCAAGGTAGTGGAGACACTGCCCACTTCAACTGTATTGGACTGGGAATAACATCCCTGAGGAAAAGGGAGCTCGTCCAGGTGCTGCTGGTGCAGACCCGGCTGCGCTGCTGCTCCCCAGCTTGCAGCAGGGCTCGGGTTTCTGCTGCAGCCCCYGAGCAGCAGCACGAGCCGCGGGTCCCTCCTCGCAGGGCAGCCAGGCGCGTCYTCCCCGCGGGCACCCGGTGCTGCAGGACGTGGTGCCTGCGGGGGGAAGGAGCCAGGTTTGCTTCTGCCCAGCAGCCTTGGGAGAACCTCGGAGGAGGCCAGAGCAGCGTTTTGACTGCTAAGGTTTCCTAGCGGAGCCGTCACAGCTGCCCATGACCCGTGTCCTGGAGGGCAGCGCTGCGGGAGGTGGYGACGGGCAGCAGCAGCCACAGACCTTGGTGGCTCCTGCTCAACTCCTCACACAAACAAATCCAAAGACCTTTTTCTCCCATCCCTGTGTCCGCTCTGCACAGCGGCGGGTTCCTGCCATTACCTGCTGCTGCTCCTGGTGTTGCTCTTTACTGGCTGCTCTCTTATGAGAGATGCAGTAACTGCTGCATCTGCCCATGCCCAGGCCACTGTGACCACCCTAGTGTCCCCAGCGGCCCCAGGCTCGCTGGGCTCACAGCCAGGAGCCCACCACGCGCCGCAAGACAGTGCAGAACTGCAAAAGGAGAGGAGCATGCAGAGCTGAACGAACGAGGGAGGGCACTTATCGCCACCGGGACGAGCAGAGAGGGTGAGGAAGGCAAAAAGCAATCACCATGGGGTTGGAGTCCGAGATGAGGTCCTTGAGGGTATCTAGGAAGCCTTGGTCCTCCACCAGCTGCGCGTTGATGTCGTGCAGCTTGGCCACGCAGACGGCCGCCGTCTTGCGCACGTAGGGGTCCTCGTCCTTCAGACACTTCCGCAGGGGCTCGCACAGGTACTCCGTTATCTTGTCCACCCGGATGCAGCCCATGGTGCGCACGGCCAGAGCCCGGATCAGAGGGTTTGGATCCTCACAGTCCTGTAGGGAATCGGAAAGGGAGGTCAGATATATCCAAGGGTGCTAGACCTTGAATCAGACTTCAGAGGTGGCTTCAGGAACTGAATCCCTACTTGAGCACCTGAAGTCTAGAGGTTTTAACCCTCATTCGTCAAAAACAAGAAGCCCAAGAGTACTTCAACACAGCAGAAAGGTTAGATGTGTTCTCCTGAAATCTGGGGTGGTCAGAGTTTTAACACCACCATTTCTCACTCCAGACCTCCAGGAATCAGCTGTTGTCATCACACCAAGCAGTCAAATTCATAYGCCAAGCGGCAAAGCCACCAACTGACCCAGGAAATGCATCTACAATGTTTACTGCCTTTTTAAAAAAAAAAAAGAAAAAAAAAAACAAGTCTCTCTCTCAGAGCCCAGATTCACCCCCAAATCCCACTCAGCCTCTTAACAAACTGATCTGGCCACATCTTGGCTCCTAACAGACACGCTCTTCAGGGTGTCATTCCTAGAAGATCGCAAGGGCCTTCTTGGCTGCCCTGACTCAGTGAGCAGGTTCATGTGATCCTAGTCCCTAAAAGCTCATAGGAACTGTCCACAGCAGAGGCTCCCACTGACAGAGCACGGAGCACAGTCCTGCTGCCAAGAAAAGGCTTTTCTCCTGCTCTTCTCCTGCACTGCTGGCCAGATTTGTTCTCTTCCCTGGCGCTAAGGGAGCCCCTGCTCAGRACAAACCCACCCTCTCTTCTCCGCAGCTGGGTAAGTGGCACCTCAGCATGGGGGCCTCCTACRAAAGCCCAGGGGAAGGCAGAGAAGGGAGGGCAAGATCAGGGCAAGGACCAACTCTCACTGGTTCAGAATTGAGTTCTTTGATGGAGAAACCAGAGGACTCTTGGCCTAAGGAATGGAGACCCCCAAATCCCTTTTCTCCTAGGAGAGAAGCTCTGAATCCTCAAAGGTGACAGCAACAGAGTGGGCTCGGGGGTGATGCATGTGTGAGGCTGAGCTGATGCTGCTAGGGACACGCAGGGACGCAGCCCTCGCCCCTCACCTTCACAAACGTGTTCACTGCCATGATAGCCATGTCGGGCTGGCTCTTGGCGTAGTTCATCAGGTAGAGGTAGACCAGCTTCTTCAGCTCGAGGTTGTCGGTCTGCATGCAGTTCACCACGTCGGGGAAGAGAGCACTGAAATGCAGAACATCTCCATGAGCAGGGCCATGCAGCAGAGCCGGGGAAGAAGAAGCCACCCCTACGTGATCATCTGCCAATTCCATACCCTGGTGGGGGGCTCCATATGTTCCTGGAGCCAGGAGGCCCTGAGTCCTCGCATAAGCCGAGCCTGCTCCTCAGCTGTTTCACAGATTGGACTAAAGAAACCATCCCAGCACTGGGTTTTGCTTCACGGATCTCTATCAACTCCAAACAGTCCCTAACGGACCTCACCTGGGCTCTCCCAGAGCATTCCCACAGGGCGCTGCTGTATCCCAGCAATGCGGGCGGCTTTCCCTTGGGCTGGGAGAAGGTGCCACATTCAGCAGCCCTCACCAGCTCTCCAGAAGCCTCCAGAGCCCGCAGGGCCTGCAGCTACGGGCACCCGAGACGTGCCCTCCGCGCGCTCCCTCCCCGAGCACACCCCAAAATGGGCTCAGGCTTTTGCAGACACCAAATCTGCCCTGCTGCAAACCGCTCAGGAGCCACCTCGCAGAACTTAATACTGAGGGCCCAGCGTAATGAATAGCCCCGCTTCCCAAGGGAATGACACTCCAGCAGGGAGCTGCAGAGCCGCAATGCTGCCTGTGCAGAGTGTGGAGCCTTCCCTGGCCCCAGGGAGTGAGAATTAACAACTCGGAGGCTGCAGATGCCAGATAAGCTATTTTGCAGCGGATGATAAAGACAGACCAATTAGACCATTAAACCACCCCAGGACGAGCAGCCCTGGCCTGAGGGCTCACACTGACGTTATCCCATGCTGACACTKGTCTGGTTTTCCCCTGGAAGCTTCTCCGTGACCGCAAAACCACCCGCTGCTTACGGGTCAGCTCCAGGGGACCCGCAAGGACAGGCCCTTCCGCAGCCGCCCCTGCTCTCGCCCCAGCCCGAAATGTCCCCCTTTGGGACCTCTTCACCTTGCTCCGTCAGTGCCCTGGGAGCAGGGGAGGGCACCCCTTGATTCTGCAAACACGGCGCCCAGACCACAGTTTTGCTCCAGCTCCCCTCCAAAGCCCCCCTGAAAGCTGCGTGAGGAGCAGAAACGCAGGCAGGGCGGGTGACAGAAGGCAGGGAGGGAGGGAACCATCTGCCCCTCTGCCAGGCCCATAAAGAAGGGGCAGGAGCGGCCGCCTAATCCTTGGGTCGCGCTCCCGCAGCRGGATTACCGCCCCCGGAGCACGGGCCTCCATCCCCTGCCCAAAGGGCTCCGGGAGGCTTCTGCTTCCCTTTGGAGCGAGGTCCCGCTCCAAGGGAGCAGCAGGAATCCCAGCAGAGCTCCCGGCTGCCGCTGGGACCRCAGGCACCAACGCGCCGGGCGGCTGCTCCCACAGGAAACCTTCCGTGGCCACAGCAGCTGCAACGGGCCCAGAGCCGCGGGGAGACGACGCAGGCCCAAGCCCCCCAAAACGGGGGCTGCAAAGGGGGGCTCCGGGCTTCCCATCCGCTCCCATCCCGCCCAGCTCCTGGGAGCGCTGCGGGACCTGCCGCTCCACGTGCTCGGAGCGTGTCCGGAGCWGCGGCCCGGCCGCCCATGCGCTCCGCTCGGGCGCTCCAACCCACCTGACGTCCTTGCCCACGGTCATGGAGGCGATCACCTTCTTCACGGCCTCTTTCTTCTTCTCCTTCTTGTCGCTGTTCAGCTCCGCCTTCAGCTCAAATATCTCCCCTGGAGGGAAAGAGGAAGCTGGGGCTCGGCCGGGACACGCGTGCGCCCGCCGGGCATTCCCGCCTCGCCACGCCGGACATTCCCGCCTCGCCACGCCGGACATTCCCGCCTTGCCACGCCGGGCGCCCGCGGGGTCACCGCTCCGGGACAGGGACACGCTGTGGAGCGGGAGCAGGGCCCGGAGCCCGCACGGGGCTCTCCCATCTCGCAGCCGCAGCGCTGGCAGCTGGAGGTAGATGGAACTTCCCAAACTTCCCTCTAACAGCGAGGGCGACTCCGGCTCCTCAGCCCACGGGGACCCTCCTGCTCCCGGGTGGCTGCTGCAGCTTAGGATGTACACGGGGAGCTCAGGATGCACATGGGGAGCTTAGGATGCACGTGGGGCGCGCCGGGGCCTGGGCCCTGCGTGCAGATGGGGCTCCCCCCCATGCCCAGCGGGTAAGGAGGGTCTGTGTTGGCGCTGCGGATGCCAGCGGTGCCCCCCAYGCGCCGCGGGGCTGCGGGCACCTTTCTTGGTGGTGGTGAAGTACTTGGAGTCCGTCATGGTGGCGTCCGGCCAGCAGCGCGTCCCTGGGGAGAGGCAGACAAGAGGCCTTCAGAGCCGGCCCCTCCGCCCGCTGCGCGAGCYGCTGCGGAGGGAAAAGCTCCAGCAGGGAAATAGCGGGGGAAATAACAGGAATTCTCGGGGAATGAGAAGCACGAGGGCGACAAGCCCGGAGGCAGCTGCAGTGGGAGCAGAGCCCCCGGCGCCGCAGGGAGGCCAAACGCAGCCCTTCTCGCCCGCCACCGTTCCCGAGGGCTGCCCCTTCACACGCACAGGGCAGATATCGCCTAAGCCCCAGCGCCTCGGGCGGATTTGGAGCCGGGCGGATGCACGTGCAGCCGGCAGCCCTCTTTAAAGGGCAGYGGGAAGGCTCCGATGCATCTTTTCCAGCGCCTTCCTCCCCGCTCCCTTCAGCAGAGGGATAAAATATTAGGAGCAGCGGCCGGGAACCCGGAGCGGGGCCCTGCAGGAGCCTGATGTGGGTCACACGGAGCCCAACGCGCCCCTAGGAGCCCCGCTTTAGAAGGGAACCGAGCGGTTTTGGGCAGGGGAGCCCTCGTGCAGCCGCACGGCAGGAGCACGAGGAAGGCGCCTGGACATGCGGGAAGGTCCCAGCTCCCCGCGCACCCCGGAGGAGCCCGGGCCAGGCACCAGCGACCGGGCGGGATAATGAGAAGCAAAGGGGGATAAACCGCGGCGCGGGCCACAGGCTGAGCCCGCAGAGCCGCCGCGTGGCTCCGAAGCGCCATTCTCCCCAATGGCTCCGGCTTTCCTGGTTTCCAGCGGCGGAGCCGGACCCCGCGGACCACCCCRACGGCAGCGCCAGTGCTGGGTGAAGGAAGCGGCAGCGGGAAGCTCCTGGGCAAGCGAGCGGAGGCGCCAGCGGAGCCCCGGAGCACCCGACCCCGGGCCCAGAGCGCTTCCCAAGCTGCATCTCCCGACACCTCCGGCCCTCACCTAGCAGGGAACAATGTGGCTCGGATGTTGGGAATGGGAGCGGATCGACCTTTAGGAAGGCGATGGGAAGCCCCGAACAGCTTCCCGGGCAGCACAAGGAGTTTTCCCCTGCCTGGACACCAGTCGCTCCCGACTGGAAAGCACCGAGGAGGAAGAGCCCCAAGGATGGGGAGGTGCAGATTCCTACATATCTGTATAGTGGGAATAGGAAAGGGCTCCTGGGAGGAATATTGGTTTCGGAAGCTCCTTGGGAACGGTTGGGCCTCTCCGCTGGTGCCGGGATCCCGYGGGGCGCCCGGAGCGGAGCGGTGCCGCTGCCTGGGCGGCAGAACGGGCGTCGGGCAGGTTTCCCCCACGGGTTTCACTGCTGGTTCCCTCTTCCAGAGGGCAGGAGGAAGAAAGACCCAACCCCGCCTGCCGCCCACAGCGGCTTCTGCTTCCCTGCGCCCGCGGCCTCGGGCAGCGGCGGGAATGCCCCGAGCGGAACAGGAACAGGAAAAGCTGCTCCCAGAAAGCACCGGGAAGAGCAGAGGCTCCCTGTCCTTTGCACGGATCTGTGCTTTCCGAAACGTTTTCCTAGCCCAGGAGCTGAGCCCCATCCCTGGGCAAATTCCTGCCGTTAGGCTGGATCCTGGACCCATCCAGCCAGCCGGGGGACTCGGACAGGGGACTGCAGGGGCCGGCGGGAACTCGGAGCGGGAAGAGAGGAGCACGGACAGGGCAGGCGGCGCCTGCTCTGTGAAGGACACGCYGCGGACGGCACGAGGGACAGGAAGGCTCCCCACGGGAGAGACGCCGGGGTTCCCGTCGGAAGGACGATCAAGACCTGGCAGCRCCGGCGGCCGCTTCCGGAGCGGAAAACCAAGGGGCAGAGACCCCATTTCGGAGCAAAGCGGGGAGTGGGGCCGGCGCCGACTCCCTTCGCGCCCCGCGGCCGAGCGGCACCGAACCCGGAGCGAAACGAACCGCGGGGCAAAGCCGGGAGCGCGGGCTGGGGCGCACGGAGACAGGGCAGGCAGCCGGGCTCCCCACGGATCCCTGCGCTCCAGCAGCTCCCGCTCCGGCCTTCCCAGGCCTCTCCCGCCGGGACAGGGCTGCTCTCCCTGCGGACGAGGGGCTTAAGGCGCCCTAACGCCCGACACGGCGCAGGGCCGGCGCTGCCAGATCCGCGCGTCCGGAGGGCCCCAAATTCGCGCTGCCGGGGGTCCCCAAACCCGGGTCACTCGGGGTCCCCAAACCCGGGACATCCGGGGTCCCCA